GTCCTCTTGGAGCAGGAATAGGGGTGGAACAGAGCAGCTTTCCTCCTGGGGCTGGTGGAAATGAAGAAAAGCAGGAGCAGCTTCAGGTGCCCTGGATTGTTTATTAGCATTTATTAATGAGCCCTTAGTCCTCAAAATTTTGGTTCTCATGTTCCTTTAGCCTTACTGAGGAATATTGTGTGGAAGGTTTGGAAGTTCGTGTTAGACAACAGGAGCAGGAAAAGATCTTTACAGTGTACAGGGGCTTGAGATAAAGACAAATCTGCAGTCTGAGGGCTCCTGGAGTGTCTAGTTTGAGACTAGAGGGAAGCAGAGATGCAAAATCTCATAGTTTTATTTAATCTTGGCTTAAAACAGAGTTTGGAAGATAGGACAAGTTTATGGTTTGGCAGGCGATGCAAAACAGTGCCAGAGGAGGCTGATTCCATAAACCTAAACCCACAACAGAGCCAGGGACAGGAAAAAAATAAAATAAAATGAGTTGCTGTGTGCTTGCAGTCGGCAAGGGAGAATTCTGGGGTGAGGAATCCCAGCCTGGTGCTCAGTAATGTCCCAGCCCTGGGCCAGGCTTGGTTTCCTTCCCCAGGGAAACCCCATCACCCTTTCCTTCCTGCAGCCTGGGCTCCAGTGCTCTGAGCAAAGATGCTTTAGGGATGGCAGGATCTGCAAAAGATGCTAAAAATCCTCCAGGTGGTAAAAGCCCCTCAGGTTTCTCTGGGAGTGCTGCTTTCAGCCCCCTGTGCATGAGTTTGTGTCAATAGAAACTCGGGGTAATGCATGGATTTCTGCTGGCAGCAGCTGAGAGATCAGCACTTCTGCGGCACTCATCAGTGCTCCCTCTTGCCAGCTCCCAAAGAACTGCCTCCACAAAAAAAGTGGAATTTTTTCTGTGCAAATACACAGTATTACTGTGAAATGAATCCTCTCTATTTTTATTTTCTCTCCTTAAGTCGTTTTTTTTCCCCTCTTGAAGGATGTGCTGTTCCTTTACGCGAAATGAGGCTTGCACAAAACTGAGTTTGTTCTTGGGTTTTTTTGGAAGTTACAGCTTCAAGAACGACTGCAGTGGTGGCTGGGGAGCTGCACTAAAAGTGTTGTTGCCTTTTCCTTTGGAGACAACTTCCTCTCCATGTTCTGAAGGGTTTTTTTCAAAGCCTTCTGTTGACAAGGGATGCAAAAAATACTGAACGTGCTAAATTCAGATTTTAGTGTGCTGTCTTCCATAGTGTCACCCGAGGGAGGGGGCACAGTCTGTGCCCCCCAGTTCCTGTTCCAGGTTGTTTTTCACCTGGGTTGAAGGTGTGGGGTTGAATTTTTGGCCAAACCCTCCAGGCTAGGGGAGGTTTCTTTATTATTTAGCAGAATTGCTTGGGCACTGCTGATGTTTGAGGGGAATATAATTGAAAAGCTGTAGGTTTTCCAATGCTGCTGGTGAGGATAATGTACAATTAATTTAATCACCATCTCCAACACAGAATTTTAAAGGTGGGAAAAGCCCTCTGAGAGGAGCTCGCACATCAGCTCAGCACTGCCAGGTCACCACCTGAGCACCAGATCTGCAGGTTTCATTAGGAGTATCTGCAATTCCTACAGGATGAAATCCTGTGCTGAAAACAGAATATTCTCAGTGTGCCTCCTCCCTGGTTTGAGTCAGCATCTCTCTGCCAAGGCAGAGTGTTTCAAGAAATTGTCCCTAGGAGTGTTCCTGCTGTTGGAACCTGCAGTTTCTGAGGGGTTTGAGTGGTTGTGTGCTGCTGCCTTGAGCTGCTAAGCAGACAGAATCAGAATTTAGGGGTTTTTTAACCAGTCACCTGCTCCTTCCAGCCCAAAATGATGAAGTATCCAAAGTGCTGGATGGGCAGATGGGCGATGAGCTTTGTGCTCCACCCAAGGCGAGCAGCTCCAGCAGGAGAAAGCATCATGAGCTTTGTAGTAACTGCACTGGCTGGGGTGTGGGGGAAGAGAAAAACCAAGATTTCATCCAGAGTCTCCCACGTCAGCTCCAAAAAAAGCCACCCGAGCTCGGTTCTGCACACAGGCATGAGAGGGATGGAGAAACAAAAGCCCAAAGCGTGGTGAGGTGCAGCTCTGGGGGTTGCTGTGCAGGTGCTCTGTGAGACACCTCTTGTGCGTGCCCACGGGGTTCAGGGGTGTCTGGGAGCCTGGTGGGCTCCAAATCTCGCTGTACTGAGCAGACCAGGCTTGGCTGAGCCAACACTGCAGAGTTTTGGGTTTTTTTTTTGCTTTGTTTTCAGCAGCCAGGGCTTTGTAGCGTCTAAAAATACACAGCGACGTTGGTGGCGGAGCATTGCTTAACTTGTGCGAGTTGTTCTCCCAAACTTTGCCTGAGTGAAGTGATAAGTTGAACAGTTAGAGTAAACAGAGTAATATTTTGATTGGTACGAAACCTTTCGTTTCTTCTCCACGTCTAATTAGCAAAGCTCTGAATGTCAAATATTTCCCCGCTCTCCGCGGCGCTGTGCTCACTTCGGTGGGCTCCATCTGGCTCTGCCTGCCTCCAGCCTGCTCCTCATGGGAAAGCTTTCCCAGACCCGGGGCTGGGGCTGCATCCCACCTGTTCCCCTCCCAGCTCAGGAGGGAAGAGCTCCTGAAATCCAGGAAATCCAGTCTTGGGGCTTTAGCTGCTCACAGTGACTGAGATTCATTAGAAAGTCTCTTTTCCCAGCCCAGTGGTTGAAGGAGTCAGAGCTCTTCATTTCTCAGTCTCAAGGTTGTTTATTGTTTCTTATCTATAAAACTCTTTCTCCTGTCAAGCAGGGCAGTCAGAGGCACTCTGCCTCCTCCAGGGTGGTGTTATCTTTCTATACTAAAAACTACCTGTACAATATTTACAGTTACTTCCCAATACCTATCACCTATGTTAGACAGTGAGCTTCTACTCTAAACCAATCTAAAAGTGCCAACAATGACAGCATCACAGCAAAAGATAGGCTGGACACGCCCAGATTTCTCCTCCTCCTCCTTCTTCTTGGCCTCCATCTTGCCCCCTGAACCCCCATTCTAAAAACCCCAAAAATCTATTTTTCACCTCGTGACAAACTGATTATTATTCTACTTAAACTTTTGTGGGTTGCAGATCTTCATCTAAGGATAGTAATTTGCTCCATGGGTCATAATCAAAACCACAGGCATCTTGGCCTCTGTGCCAGGGTCTCTGAGCCCCCTGGCACTCCAGGACAGCCACAGGGATGTGCTGAATTCCAGTAATCCAGATGGAAAATCGAGCTGTGCCAGCTGCTGGTCCATGAGTGGAGCTCCCTGGCTGGGAGATGTCAGCCAGGTCCTTGCTGAAAGCTGCTGGTGGGTGGGAGTGGTGCATCCATGGTGAATGAAAATATCCCTTTAGGCTGTGCAGGGTGCAGTTCCCCAGTACAGAATGGGGTGTAGCAGCTTTTTGGTTCCTTGGATTCCCGGAGTGTTTTTGTTTGGAGGGGTTTTTAATGCCCGTTGGCCCCTTGCCTTGGCGGGGCCCCGTTGGGTTCCCGGCCCAGTGTCCAACCTGGCCTGGGACACCTCCAGGGATCCAGGGCAGCCCCAGCTGCTCTGGGAATTCCATCCCAGCCCCTGCCCACCCTCACAGGGAGGAATTTCTTCTCAATATCTGATTCTCAGGGACTTGAGTAGCAACCCCATTACCGGAGCAGGGCTCTCCTCTGGCTGTGACTTCCTCACATCAAATTGGAATTTAAGCTACAACCCAGGAAATGGGTGCTTATCTTCAGGCAAAATGTCAGACTTCTTTTTCTGCCTGTCCTATCTGGGATGTGTTGATAGTGTAAAAAAAAGCTCATATTTCCTTACAATGTATGATTTTTGCTGCATTTCTGGTGCCCACTGAATTCTAGTTTCATAAACATCATCTCCATTTGCCATCTGTTCTCTGTGTGACCCATACCTAGCTACCAAACATGTGAAGCTTTAGGTTTAAATCATGTGTTGGATAAGTTTCCTGGTTTTTTTCTTATTTTTTTTCAAATTTTATTAGCATGTGTTTTGGATGATCTAATGGGAAATGGCTCTGCTTCAGCCTCTTTCTGTGGGATTTAGGGTGGTTTGTTGTCAGCTGAGTTATCAGGGGAAGGGTTTCAGCCTTTAGCGAAATCAGAGGTGGAAAAATGAAGGTTTGAGTCATCCCAGGTGGGAAGGTTGAACCCCAGGGCAGGGGTTGGGGGTTTTGGAGAAGAGACCTCATGGATTGAGGGGAGCAGTGCAAAAGGACCCGAGCAGGTTCCTGCTGGTTTCTCGTGGCACGGTGAAAACAGCAAATAAATAAAACTCATCCGAGACAGCCTCTCTGCCTGCAAAACAAATGGACAATAGCAAGAATTAATTTAGTGTCTTAAAATATCAGCATAACCAACATTCCATTTGAATTTCTTCTTTCAGGTATTGGAAATTTGACTGAAGGCTTCATATCATGCACTGGAGAAGGTAAGGATTGTTTAATACTAGTTCTGATGTGTTGGTGTTAATTTCTCTTTATTCTTAACATCATTGCATTGAATGTCAGAATCTCCTTTGTGTTGTTTGTGTTTTAAAGAATTTGTCCTGGAGTTTCTGTGTGTCCTCGCAGGGGGTTTTGATTTCCCTTTTTAAAAGAATTTATAAATCTGCATTTAAGTGTATATGTTACATTTATGTAATTCTACATTGGAAGGCTTATGGAAAATGTGGAACAATTTGCTTTCAGCTATTATTGTAAATGGTAAATTGTAAATTATATATATTTAACAGGATGTATGGAAGCTATAGAGTGACTCTTTTTCAAAGGGATATTGATATCTTGTTATCAATAATGTTTCAGGGGTTTTTTTTTCTGGTTAGGCTCCCATTGTTCTTGTCAAGAGATTTTCAAAATTGGTGTTTAATTAATCATTGAATGATTGACTCTGCAATTGAATTAGTCAAAAAAACCTGTGGTGTTTCTGAAACTGAAATTTTCTTAATGGCCTCTCAGTTTGAATGTCAAAGGGAATCAATCTTGTTAGTGGAGAGGTGAGTTTTGTTCTACAGACCCTGAAATTATCTGGAGGGGGTTTTTTCCAACATGCTTTTAAGTCTGAATGATGCTGTTTCCAAAGGAGAACAAGATGTTTTCAGAGCTTACAATTATTTGAAAAATGAATGTTGTCTTAGTTTTAGATGTTATTACTGTGTCTGTTCAGAGAGACTGCAGATGGTTTCTGACAAAAATATTTAATTTCTTAATTCTTGGGAGTTTCTCCTTAATCCTGGGGGGTGTTCACAATGAAAACTGAAGATGGAGATCAAGTAAATACTCTCGTTCAGCCTGGCTCTTTTGGAATGGTCTCTCTTGGTGTGAGGTTTTCAGAGACAGCATGATAAATCCTGTGATAGATCACTTTCTAGTCTTTCTAGTGGTCTAAAAGGAAAAGCTTATTTCTTAATATAAAAGATAACTTTGAATAATGGACTCCTCATCCCTTTGGACAGTACTCCTAAATTAGCCTCAGAGCTCCTTCCCAGGTGAAATCTCATTTTCAGGTTCCCCACAGTAAAAAGGAGACACTGATCCCCATTTCATGTGGGAAGTGTTTTCAATCTGCTGATGAAAAGTACTTCTGAAGAGTTAGGCAACCTTGATTAATTGAGCCTGAATAAGAAGTGCAGGATCAAATCTCAGGATATTATTTTTAGGCTGCAGCCTTGTGTTCTGCATTCCAAATCCTTAAATGCCAGTTTGATAGGGAGTGTGGAGGACTGGAGCAGACAGTTCTGGGCACGCTGGTAATGGTTTGCAAATGCTGACACCAGCCCAGCCAGGAGGATGGAAATTGCTTTCTGTTTACAGAGCCTTTAACTCTTGGGTAAACACTCCTCATTAGTGAGGATGTGACTGGAATTTGGGTTCAGTGCCTCCATTCTGGGGATGCCTCAGGATTTCAGCTTTTCTATTTTCCATCTCTCTGTAACCCCTGCAGCTCTTCAGTGTGTAACTCCAAACTCCACACTCAGTGTGAGCTGCTGCTTTCCCATTTGGGGCAGACACAACAATTCCTCTGCAGGCCTGGCAATCAAGGACACCTCACTGCCTCAGGGCCCAGAGATGGGAACAAAAGGGAGTTGGGGGAGCAAACTTGGGGTGAATGACTTCATTACCTGGAGCTGGAATTGGCAGATTCACCCCCAATATCCAAATGGACCAAATTCATAAAAGTGTGAAAGCCCTGACCTGTCAGGGGGCTTTGTGTGCCCTAAATGTACCTGAAGGCCCTTAAATAAATAGAACAGCTTTTTAATCCCTTAATTCTGTCTGGCCTCTGTTTTTAGGTAGCCCAGAAGGCATCAGTGGCACTGGGAGTGAAGGGGTGTTTGAAATAAAAGCTCATGTGGTGAATGTCCCATTAGAAGGTCAGCAGTGCCCTGTGGGGTGTTTGGGTCTGGAAATGGCCCCACAAGGCAGAATTTGGTTCTTGTGTGGGGAGTGGGAATAGCAATGTCACCCAAGCTGCTGAGATACCCCAAAAAGTGAATTTTGTGTACCCAAGGCCTGCCCCTGCCCCAGCGGCCTTGGGATCCAGGCCTGTGCTCTCAAGGAGCAAGCACAGCACGATTTTTAGGGAAAAGTGGTCACACATGCTGCTGTACTTGGCAAAATGACACATTTGGGGACTGCAGATTCAGCTTTTATACATATTTCATCTCTGGGGGAGGGCAGGAGTTTCTCTCCCACGCTCCTCAGCAGCACATGAGCCTTGCTGAGTCAAAGCCAGGCCCTGAGGAAGCCAAGTTTGAGTTTTGCTTCTGGTCTTGTGGCTCAGAACTGCCTGTGCTTGACCAAAGTGGCTCCAGGAGAAGGGATTTGAAAGGAAACATTTGTGCTTTGCAGTGGTATAATTACGAAATTCTACTTGATTACCTGTCAAGCTAATTAAAACAGTGACAGGCCAGCAGTCCTCTTAGAGTTTGCAGCATCTGTGCTTTGTATCCCACAACCAGGCTCAGAGTGTAAATTTAATTAGAATTATTACCAGCAGACAATGCACAGTTGTGCTGGAGAAATGGCCTAAAACTGAATGCTCTGAAAAGAAGAGATTGTGGTGGGCAGAGTCTGGATTTAGGGCATGGTTTGACAAGGTTGGGACTGGTTTTGTCCATGGGCAGCTTCCCATTTGCCTGGTGTGTGACTGTTTGTGTGATTTTGTGTCTGGCAGCTCTTGGCTCAGCTGGAAGGGCTGGGGTCAGTGTGGGAGAGGATTGCTTGGATGGACACTGAACTGCTTCCAACATGCAATTTTTAGATCCCTCCTTCAAAGACAAGGGTTGTTTGTGAGCTCCAGGCATCCTTCTGCTTCCCAGGATCCTGAATTGTCCTCCTTCCCTGGCTCCTCACTCTCAGATGTGTCTGCCACCACGTCCTCATACTCTTCCTAATCCTCTGAAAATCTGCTGTGTCCTTTCTTTTCCTCTTCATTATCTCCTGCTTCCAGCCTGATTCCCTTCTCCTGCTTTTCACCTTCTGTGCCTCTCTGCCATCTCTTTCCTTGGCTGCTTACTTCTCCCTCATCACTTGGGTTCCTTGTGCCACCCAAAACCCCCCAAAATTAAAACAAAGTGAGCTGTTCTGAAGTAATTTAATAAATTGAATCACCAAAACTGCCGTTTTAGGGTGGTTTAAGTTGTGTTTTTAGAGGATGGGCTGGGAGAGAGCATCCTGACTTTGCAGCAGAGTGAGATGGCAGCTTTTTGATACCAGCCTGATTGTAATTTGTTATTGCAGAGTCTGCATTTTGCTTGAAATTTGGAGTATTTGTTTTGGGTTTTTTGGTTTTTGGTTGTCTTTTTTTTTTTTATTTAACTGGAGTAATACTTGGGATGCATCCTCATGACTTCACTTTTCACCCTAACATCATGATAAATACTTGGACAATAGGATAAATTTGAGTTCAGTTAAGTGCCTGGACAGATCTTTCCCTTTCAAGGAGATTTTGGAAGCACAGGTAATTACCAGGTGATACCTCAAGGGATGTGCCTCATTCCAGCATTTCAGAGCATTTCCTTTCATAATATGTGTGAGAAGTGTTGTCTGTGCTCCCTGAGTGGGAATATGGGGCTGAAATGACACCAAGGAATGTCTGGGAAGGCAACAGGGCTGTTAAATCTGAAATCTGACACAAGGCATACTTTGGCACAAAGCGAGTCTGCCCTTCTGCACTTGTTTGATATTATAAAAGAGATTATTGTGGCCTTACAAGAAGGTTAAGATGTGGTGAAGTTTAATATACTCTGGAAATAGTCCTGCTAAAGCCACTGCAGCTGGTGATTGATGAGGCAGGTTATGATGGGAGCTCTCAATCTTGTGTTTGTGTGTGCAAATTGCCATTTCCCAGCCTTTTCAAGGTTGCTAACTTTATCTTGTGGTGCAGCCCATATTTAAGGATTTCATGTTGAATTAGCCTTTGATTAAGGGCAAAGGAGCTTTGATGATAAAATGCCACTACCAGTGGTTCTGTGGACTGGCTTGGAATAACTTATCAATCACTCCATGGCTGAGAACACGTTGTGGACATGAGGGTCACCCTTTGAGGATTAATTTTTCTCAGATAAACAGCTCATGGCTGTTGGATGATTATGGTCAGAAGCAATTATGGTGGTTTTAAACTGCTCATTACTACAACAAAGAGTCACTGGGCTGAGTTTTGAGCCTCTGCCTAAATAGCTGGGTCAGGATGGGTCAGCCTGGATTCCAAGGTGTTATTGAATGATAGGAGTTGCTGGGAGTTCGGCCACAGCTGGCTCCTGCCAGTTTGTTTTCCTTATTTTTTCTCCTATTAACTGAATTTCTGCACCTTTTAGGTTTGTTTTCCCTGTTTTTTTTTCCTCCTATTAACTGAAGTTCTGCCCCTGTTAGGTGAGTCACTCAAACAGGCAGCTGGCAGGTCAGTGGAGTCCCCTGTAAATGGCAAACATGTATTTTCCAGGTATTCTGAAGAACATTTCACAGCTGGTTTATGTTCCAGGTGTCACTGCTTGTTTGTGATTCTCTGGGCTGCAGATTTCCATTTTTCTGTCTCCTTTTTTAATTCCTGCAAGGCTGTCATCAGCTCAGCTGAGAGACTGGATGAGCACAGTGTGAGGACTCATGATGCTCCTCATGGCTGGAAAAGTGGTGGAGCCTGAAAGCCAAAGCGTGTCTGAGATAAATTCCAATTTAATAGGAAAAAAAAAGACCCCCAAACACCAGTGATATGGGCAACTGCTGTCATGAGCACTGCTTGAAAGGGATGAGAAGCTGTCTCATGGAGGGATTAGTGTAGTGAGGAATAAACTGCTGAATCACTGGGAGCAAGAAGGAAATAGAGAGTGGAGAGGCTGTGTGTGGGGAAAAAAAAAAATAAAATGGCTGCTGGAATTCAATTAAAATCACAGTGGGATTTGCTGCTGGAGATGGAGCATCAGTCACCCCCGAG